TCTCCCCAGCCCCTCTAACCCTGCCCTTTCCTGCCCCCGCAGTTCTCCGGCCTGCTGGGCACCGTGTACCGCCGCGGCAACCTCAGCTTCACCCGCGATGGCAACTCCCTGCTCAGCCCCGTCGGCAACAGGATCTCCCTCTTCGACCTCAAGAAGTGAGTGCGGGRACGGGCGGGGAAGGGGTTCTGGGGGGAATAAAGCTCTGAGTACGACGCATGGGGCTCTATGGGATGCTCGGCCTTCCAAAATACCCAGGAAAGCTTCCGCCTTAGTATTAAAAGGTACAAGCCTGCCTAGTGGAATACCTGTCACGGTGCTGTGCGGGTACATGCATGTGGAGAAGAGCAGAGGAATTATGTAAAGGTGGATTTCAGAAAAAAAAAAAAAAAAGGGGAAAAAACGGGTTTGCGTTTGATTTAGTTGTATGGTTTCCTTGTGTACTTCTGTCTTGAATGTAACAAAGCTTAGAGCATCATCATCTCTAGTCACAGTCTTTCCTGTGTGCCAGAGTTGYGATTAATGCTCCCTGTGCCTGTATKGAATCAGGAGCCTGTCTCTTACACATAATCACAAATTATCCCGAACTGAAAGGAACCCGTGAGGGTCACTGAGTCCAGCTCCTGGCCTGGCACAGAACAGCCCCACGTAGTTGTTGTTCGTGGGATTGTGACAGCTAAAGAAAATTGTGGGGGTTTTACATCCAGATGGTGTCTGTGGTTTTAACAAAGSTATCAAACCATATTTCATTGATACCATCATGTTTTTCCTGCATCCTTATTCCCTTTTTACTGTTTTATGTTCTTGTTGCAGTAACAAGTGTGAGACATTGCCTTTGGCTACGCGGCTCAATATTGTGTGYGTGGGGCTCTCTCCAGATGGAAGTCTTGCCATTCTAATTGATGAAGGTACTTGCACRAAGGATATATTTATTTTGTAAAAGAATTCAGGAAAAATGTCACCTTGAGAGGGGGAAATTGGTACTGCTAYGTGTTCACCCCAACACAAAATTAGAAGTGCTCTGCTTTATCAATTACATKAAAATTAGAACTTAAGAAGAACTTGTTTACAGAATATAGATAGTGTGTCATAATTTGGATTGTAGTTTTTTATCTTAGTAATATTAAACACCCTGTTTCGAAATGTTTCTGAGAAAATACTTTCCCCCCCGGCCTTTTAGGGAAAGAAACTAAGCTTGCTAGAGTTATGATTTCTTTGAGAACTYGAATATTTTCATGATTCTTTTTCTGCCCTTACAGAGGGAGCTGCATTGCTTGTCAGTTTGATTGGGAAATGTGTGATACATCAATTTTATTTTCACAAGCCRGTTCACAGTGTCAGCTTCTCCCCTGATGGCAAGTAAGTAAATAGCGCATGGTTTAGAACAAAACAGCAGGAATTACTCCATAAATTACTTGTTTTTATGAGGACATTGTAACCAATCTGTGAATGTTTCCTATTCATGAGTGAGGGGAGATTTTGAACTGATCAGGATCACTTTATCTGTAAAATTGAGAGGGGAGGAAAAACAAAGCCTTGGAAATAGAATATCCCGGATTGAGTGTTTGAACTTTTCCAGTTTTGAGAATTGGAGTATAAGAATTTCATTATTCGTCCTCAGTGATTTTTACTGAAGRTTTTCTCTTTTATAATGCTTAAGTTGGAGGATAATATCAATCTGAAAATATTTTGTTTTTCATTCAAAAGCAATCAATTTTTATTGTTTCAGTAGTGCAGGAGCCTTTTTACTATTGTTTTGTTTCATTGTRTGGCACTCTGTACTGAACACTTGTTTGCCTTATCAGCTTTGTGTGCAATTATGTCTTTTTCACTGTCTTATGCCAGGAAATTTGTGGTTGCAAAAGACAACCTTGCTTACCTGTACCATGCTCCTGGGAAGAAACGAGAATTCAATGCCTTTGTTTTGGACAAAACCTACTATGGCCCATATGATGARACAACTTGTATTGACTGGACTGATGATTCCAAGTGAGTTATTAAACCAAAGCACATCTTAATATTTGAATGCATGTTGCARTCCCTTTTTCCTTCCTCTAAAATATTGTGCTAGCTTTAAAAATTCTGTCTTGAATTAAAAAATTATATGAGGTAGACAAGTACAAAATATGCATGTGTTGGGGATCAACAATGGATTCATGCTTGAAAATGCACAGTACTTCAAAAAAGGAACACATCTTAGGAATGTGAGCCTGGTTCACCTTTTGAATACATTTAACCCCTTCTACCTCTGYTACAGTCACCAACCTCAGTTTACAATTCTCTTGTTCATAAATTTAGAAGTGGTGACTGGTGAATTTGAGCTCAGAACATTTTCCACCCAGTGAAGAGTTTTGCAATCCAGTGTTCTAATGGGAATTGCCTTTTCTTTTGCAGATGCTTTGCAGTGGGGAGCAAGGACATGTCTACGTGGGTGTTCGGAGCAGAACGATGGGCAAACTTGATCTACTACTCTCTTGGAGGCCATAAGGATGTCATAGTAGCCTGCTTTTTTGAAGAGAACAGCCTAGATGTATGTATAATCACAACACACTGGAATTTTAATATTAAAGTCGTTGAAGTAGAATCTTATCTGTAGGTGACAATTTTGACAATATCTCAGAAAATAACTGCTGTGATTGTGAGTTTACAATTCCCTGAATATTTGAAGGAGTAAGTTATTTCAAATTGCTCCCTAAAAGCATTGTAGCTTTGAATATGAATTAATTATTTACCTTAGCTRTAATGCTGACTGGTAATCAAGTTGCCTTTAGCCCTTGCAGGTTCTTTCTGAGGGCAGGTAAAATAAATCACCAGTTCTCAGGACAAGTAAAATTTCCAGGTCAAAGCAGCTTGAATTCCAGAGGACTAAGTAATGCATTATCCTGACAATAGAGTGCAYATTTGCTAACCCTTCTGCATGTCCATATTCATATTCTTGCAGAGCACAGAACATAGATATTATGTTCTATTATGGACAATAATAATTAGTGTGTTTGTATTGTAGCTGTACACCATTAGCCAGGATGCAGCYCTGTGTGTGTGGCAGTGTGACACAGAGCTGGATGGTTTGAAGCCCATGCCCCCTAAAGATGCAGCTAAGGAAAAGAAGGTAGCAGAAGATGATGAAGAGCTGCTTGAAGAGCCAAAGGGTGAAGAAATCCATGGAAAAGCTGATCCAAGTGAACAAGAGACTAGGAATAAGGTTAAATAYTCACGTGTAGCAAAGTAAGTGGTTTTCAGTTGTCAAAAGTCACAGTTGTAATGGGGATTTATTATACTGGGCTTTTTTTCATCTGTTGTTGCTCATTCAAAGCGATATAAAACTGCCAAGGATTTAGAAATTTACTGCAAATACCATTTTAAGTGGTTACAGTAGAATACCTGTTTGTCTTGCTTGGATTATGTGAAGGGCTCTACCTTTCATCTTCAGAATAACAAGTGTARTTTTAATAATACAAGAAATACTGGCACATGTGTTATTATTTGGAACTCAAAAAGGGTAAATGTGATCTCTGTTACAGTACTCTTTCTATGTCTGGAGGCTCTGATGTTTTGCAAGAAGGGGTTGGTTGACTTCAGGGGATGACATAKAGGTGGCTCATCAGCCTCTTTGATGACCTACTTGGAGATACAGCTCTAACAACTTTCCTTTAATGTTCACTTTGCTTCGTTCTTATTTTTTGGATGCCAGGTATTTTTTCAATAAAGAGGGAGATTTTAATAACCTGACAGCTGCAGCCTATCACAAGAAAACACATCTTTTAGTCACTGGTTTTGCCTCTGGAATCTTTCACCTCCATGAGCTTCCAGATTTCAATCTGATCCACTCCTTGAGGTGAGGTATGGGGTTGTCACTGTTTTTGGTTTGGTTTGGTTTGAGGGGGAAGGGTATAACATTTTTTGGGAAGGGTTCTTGTTCGTTTGACTGAGAACACATCATGTTAAGTGATGAAGGATGTGAAGGTTGAATAAACAGAGTACAAAAATCTTAAATGGCTATCAGTTTAGTACTGTAWTTTCTGGAAAGGCAGAATTATAAACTTAAATTAATAAATTCCACGTAATTCCACTCCATAGTGTTTTGGAAAAATGAGGTCTGAATAAGGAAACTGCTCAGGAGTTCCTAGTTGTTGGCTATGGATTTCTTCAACACSGTGAACTTTAATATTCTCAATTTCATTGTAGAAAGTACTAGCTGAAAGAAAAAGAAATGAACGTCATGGTTTTTGATGTTACAGTAGTACAGAAGTTCAGTAAAACTATCAAACTACTTGCTTGAACAGAGTTAATAAATATTAAACTTCATTTTTATCTCAGAAGATGTAAAAACATAGGTTTGTTTATTGGTTAATTCTCTTCAGTATTTCAGACCAAAGGATAGCTTCTATTTCTATCAACTGCACTGGTGACTGGATTGCTTTTGGATGTTCAGGTTTGTCAATTTTTTTTGTCTGTATTAATGGGAAAAATAAAGAATGTGGTGTTCATGAGGCCTAAATTCCTTGTTTGTTTTGACTCCRAATGTTAAATAATTTATAGTCTCATGGCCATCTTTGATTCCTAGGTACAGTAAAGCAAGACTCACTAACCAGTCTCTCCTCACAGAATTCTTATGATTCAGKAAAGTATTTTGTTGATATAGGAAAAAAATACGTGTTTCATAGAGGAGGGCTCCCACAGACTTGAGGGAAAGCCCAGATCCCTTTGTAGCTCATGTCTGCTTTCATTCTGGGCAAACATTCTCTCTTCCTTTGCCATTTGTTGCCTGTGGCATTTTACAGCCCTGCCTTGATGTTTTTAACATAGTGGAACCATAATGGCTTGCATGAAAACCAAAATTTTACCCTTACATGCAGCCCTACTTTTCTTTCCAGCACWTTTATCAGTTGGTTGATAGCACTGCTGTTGTAGCATTGAAAACATTATTCCAAGTAATAGCTYTTGGAAGAAATTGTTGAGGAAATTGCCTTGAAGCTATAAAAGGGAAGAGGCTTTTATTAGGATTGAAAGATGCAGAATTCAACTTGTCTTAATCATTTTTTTTCTTTTCTCCTGCATTGGTTGCCATTGTGTTTTGTGACTTGCTTTTGCAGGGTTATTGTGTTGGTAATTGTGGTTAATCCGCTGTGGTTACAGGTTTGGGTCAGCTCCTGGTGTGGGAATGGCAGAGTGAGTCCTACGTGCTGAAGCAGCAGGGACATTTCAACAGCATGGTYTCCTTGGCATATTCTCCAGATGGACAGTACATAGTAACTGGAGGGGAGGATGGGAAAGTAAGTGAGGCAATATTGTTGGAATATGAACTTGTTRTATTTTATGTAGAAAGCTCTGTTACTGTAATGAATGCATATTTCTCTTGTATAAAAGAAYTAGTATAATTTTTTTTATTCTCTCTTCCCTTAAATACTTTGATTTTTCTCTAAAGCATGTATATTTTGATTTGTTACTACTTATGTCTGCGAATTGCATCACTTAATGCTTTCTAGCAGATGGGTTTTTAACTACTAGGTGTCYAGTCACCATAAACTCACAAATACCTAATTCATCAATGTTAATTTAGTTATGGTTTCATGATATTTTGGGGTGAATGAGCTTCAGTCAGCCAACTTCTTGCCCTTTTAATAATTGGGTTTTGATATGAAATTAATTTCAAATTATTTATAAAAGTGCTATTTTTTATTTAATGTACCATTCCAGAAGCATGTTACTTAAAAGAAAAATTAACTTCTCATGGGTGCCTTGCATTGAAATGATGGACTGTGTATTCAGGTAGTTTTATTTTAAATGATGTTTTGCCACAACATCTTGGCACATAAATGGGACAACAGTAGTAGCTGATTTCTAATCAAAACTTTTGAATGTCAAAAGAAGATCTGCCACTTCATGGCTTCTGCCATTCAGATTAAAAATTGACCCCAGAAGTCTCAGACTTCAGAAAGCTAAAAGCGTAACATTCTTGTTCAGKAAAAAAAGCCCAACTGAAGTATCATCTCACTTGTAATTTCTGTMATGGCTTCAGAGTTGGTTTTGAATTTGACACTTTGTCCCTAATGGTACAAAGCTTGGCAGCTCATAATGCTTACTCGGTGTTACAGTTTTCCTTGAAAGTTAACTTTGTTTCAAACTTTTTTGTCTGTGTCCGCTTACATTTTTAAGTTGCCAATGTGTCTTCAGGGGTTTAATGGTAAGCTGTSGCCTGTTTGCTTCAATTGCACAGAATTCCTTCCTGGTATTATTGAAAGTCTTCRATGCTGTTGCAGAGTTCTAGAATTAGTTCTTTTTAACTCTTATGCTGCCTCACTCTTTTTTCTCTCTTAACTGATGATGGAGAATCTAAAAAGTCTTTTCTTGTCTGTCATGCAGGTGAAAGTGTGGAACACTTCCAGCAGCTTTTGTTTTGTCACCTTTACAGAACACAGCAGTGGTGTAACTGCAGTAACTTTCACTTCCACTGGTTATGTTGTTGTGAGTGCTTCCCTCGATGGAACAGTGCGTGCCTTTGATCTGCACAGGTAAATGTTTACCTAATAGCTTTTGTGTCTCATTTAGTCCTCAGCTTTCACATTCCCCACAAAATACAGCAAACTGCTGATTGCTTATTTGAAGTTGCATAAAGGTGAGCAGCACTGCCTTACTGATTTTTGGTTCAGCCTTTGATTTAAATTTAGATAGTAATTAGGAATGCTGTTACTCCATCCAGTTTTCTGTGAAGAAAATTCTGGAAGAACTTTCCTCAGACAWGCTGGAAATCCTGGAAGATCATTGTCTGACTCTGCTCAAATGGGGAGAAGGCACTTGCCTARTGGGGAACTTTCCATATTAGTGGCTGGGCCATGACACAGCTGTGCACAGAACTGGGTGTGTAAACAAGCCCACGTTTCTAAAGACTTGACACATGCTATTTAATAGAAGAAAGCTYCTTTATTTGAGTATTTCTGGAGTCATGCTGAGGCATCACATCTAATTTAATCGAAAGAATATTTTTTCTGTACATAACTTAAAAGACTTTTCCAATCAAATGAACTCATTTTTTAAAYACACTTGTTAAACACTCATTTAAATCTACCTAAAATGTTCTCATGACTTGTTTTCATCTCTYCAACAGGTACCGCAATTTCCGTACCTTTACGTCTCCACGACCAAGTCAGTTCTCCTGCTTAGCTGTGGACTCCAGTGGTGAAATTGTGGCAGCTGGTTCCCAGGATTCCTTTGAAATATTCATCTGGTCAATGCAGAGTGGGAGGCTGCTGGATGTAAGGACCCACARTGTTGGGAAGRCTTGAATTTAACACARTGTGGAGTGTTAATCCCAGTWAYTTTGGGATTAGTCAGGGGGRTTTCAATACAACATGAAGTGTTTTKTTATGTTTATATTYAAAAACTGGAKCTACACTATGTTGCTCTCAGCATTTTGTAAAAAAATATTTTCCACTCTGAATTTGTGTGAGAAATGGTTTTTAGAATTTTTGAGTGATGGGCTCTTTCTAGTGATGARCTAACACCAGTATTGCTGAGCTAACACATGGCCATAAGAGTCTTTCCCTCCTTGTTCAGAGATGTTCTTTTCTACATATTTTCTGCAGCTAATGAAGGAATTGCAGGTGCAAGAAATTGTAGTATTAAGACTTGATACAGATTCTGTTGAGAGTTTTGCTGGAGCAGAGCAGGGGCATGATTTTTCAATTATATTTTCAATTCTTAAGCATTACTGTACACCTTGTACAAGTAGAAGAGCTCAGTGATTCATGTATTTAATTTGGCACAACCACTGAATACAGATCACTTTAGTAACTCAGGATACACTTGACTGGATCTCCAGAATTCTGAGTTTAGTTTCTTTCCTTGGTATTTTTTTTGAGGAGTAAGAGCTCCATGAAATGAAAGTCTCTGTTACTCTTATTCTTGTTTTCTTTTTTTCTGAAATGTTATCAACTGCAGGAGATGCTGAATTCTCAGAGCAATGATTTGGTTTTTCACAGTTGATCTGCTTCTTTTGAAAGRAGGGAGGAAAATGGCACACAGCATTCCTAAAGTGTGTGCATAGGGGTGATTGTAGATGCCTATACAGTGGTGGCACTTCAGGGAATTTTTTTAAAACTTGTGAAAATAAAAAGTTGAGAWTCACTGGTGTGTATCATGCCCTATGTCCAAAAGTGATCTCAAGCACATATGGACAAGTTGAGCATGGTATAATGGCTGTATCCAGGGTTTACTGAATGCAGACTACACAGATTCCAGTTTCTTTCACATAATTCCAAGTTATTTTTTCCTCTCTTCTTAGGTCTTAGCAGGTCATGAGGGTCCCATCAGCAGCTTGTCCTTTAACCCAATGAAGTGTGTTCTAGCCAGTGCCTCTTGGGATAAGACTGTCAAGTTATGGGATATGTTGGACAGTTGGAGAACTAAGGAGACACTAATAATGAACTCAGATGGTAATCTGCGTTTTATTTTTTGTCTTTATCAAATGTAAAAATACTATATAAAATGTGTTAATAATGAACAACAGAACATGCCAAATACAGACAGACTCATTCTTGGTAATGATTATCGAAAGTTCAGATACTTCACTCTTGTACTTGGGTAACAGTGCAGTAAATACTTTAAGTTAATTCTGGCTCATCTTTATAATTACCTAAACATTTGTATGTTGCCCACAGAAAAATTACAGTCATACTTGCTACTCTTAAACTTTTTCTGGTAGCTGAGATAAGATCCTAAAAAAATTTAGGGTAGTATCTGATTGCATTGTTAACTGTTAATTAAACTCTTTGCAGTTCTTGTTGTTGCCTTCCGTCCTGATGGCAAGGAGCTCGCAGTTGCTGCTTTGAATGGCCAGATAACGTTTTGGGATCATGAAAATGCAGTGCAGACCGGCTCCATTGAGGGCAGGCACGATCTCCAGATGGGGAGGAAGGAGCTGGATAAAATCACTGCCAAGCAGGCAGCCAAGGGCAAGTATGTACAGGGGGCTGCAATGACACGAGGGTGCTGTGCAGGGTTGCTTTGGAATTGTTTTTCCATTTGTTTTCAAYGTGAAGATTTCAGAGTGCATCTGCTGTTCATCTGTTTTGATTCTGATGTTGAATTTGAAAAGGCTGCCTGACATCTGGGTGCTGACACGTTTGCTGTTTTCACTCACTGATCAGCATCACTCTGATCTTGTCTTTTCCATCACTTATGAACTTGTGTTACCAGCAGAATATTAACCTTTTCATGCCAAGTCGTTAATTTGCTATGTAATATGTTTTGAAGCAGTTACATTTCTACAGAAGTACTAGTATATAACCATTATTGTGTAGAAAGAATTACATTTTTAAAAAAAGTAGTTAAATTATGGAGTTTATTACATGTTGCTCTTCACGTGAAGTAATATTTAAAGGCAAGATGAATTTGTGTGCTGTCAAAAACGATATTAGGTAGAAGTTTTAGTCTTCTCTTTTTCTCTTGTTTTAGATTCTTTTTTTTTTCATATTGCTGCCTCTCAAAAAAAACAAAGAAACAATGACTTTTTGGGGAAAAAAAAAAAAAAAAAGGTTTTTTTGGTGATAAGCTCTCAGCCATCTCTTTCAAACATGCTGTGGCATTAGGTTTTCTGCAGATCTTTGGACTCTCCTTAGTGTAGTGTAGGGTGTAGTTTGAGAGCTCACTCACCAAGCTGTGACTCAGAGATATGGAAGTGTTTAAGAAAGCTGAAGTTGTAAATTGTTTATGATTCATAGTAAAGCACCAAATGCTTTGTAGTAAATTAGTTTGTGAAGTACATACCATATGAATGAAGACYACCACTTTTTCCATGGAATGGTTATTTTCTGAATCATCACACTACTCATGTCTTTTAGCTTAGATGTGACAGTGAAATTAACTGCTTTCTCTTTTTTGTTTTTTCTGCCAGATCTTTTACTACTCTGTGTTACTCAGCAGATGGCGAATCTATTCTGGCAGGTGGATTGTCAAAATTTGTCTGTATATATAATGTCAAGGAACAGATTCTTATGAAAAAATTTGAAATCTCATGCAACTATTCTTTAGATGCAATGGAGGTATGTGAGCACAGGGATCTTTTTTTTTCATTTCCCTACTCCCACCAGACTTTGGTTTTGGTGTAACATCTCATTAAGTGTGATTCATGAATTTTTTTTAGGAATGGTTTTATATTGGTGCACAAGAGGGGGAAGGAAATAGTCCTCCTAGAACAGAATTAATTCCTGTCACTCAGCTAACCACAATCTTGCCAGATTTCTAGTGTGCTTGTGTTGAATGGGTAGAACTCTCAAGCATACTAAGTTAGTTGGCACTAGACTTGAAATGGAAGTGAAAATGTAAATTATCAACATTGTGTACCAAGATAACTCCCTGGGTGTCACTTTAGCAAAGAAATTAAGGATTTTTTTGTGGACATGGAACATCATCACTGACCTTTACAAACTCTGTTTCTGAATATTGGCAAATGCCAAATTAAATTCCTTTGAAAGTAAAGTGAATGTGAAAAGCATCAGAAGGAAGAAAACTTCAGTAACCCTTTTCAACATCCCCTTACCTGGAAGAATGATGGTTGTTCCAGTGTTCATATCAGGCTGTATTTGAGTGTGGTTTCAAGTACACTTCTTTGTCAACAGTGATTTGTGAGCTGGTGTAGTTCAACATGTGGCTTGAGAGAAGGAGAGCCAGCTGGAAAAGAATTCTGGAGGGGATGAGTGTTTAGAAATGGGGGGCAGGAAGGTCCCTAAAATCTCACTGACATTGTGACATCCCTGAAATTTCCCTTGCACAGCTGTCTGGCCACACAGTCCTTGTGTTAGCATGATGCTGCTTTGGAGCCTGAAGGGCAGAAAGAGTAGGGCTGCAGGTGAGGAAGCAAACAGTGCATTTGTGGAGTGAAACGAAGTTRCAATAATGTGAAACCACAGTCTGAACTGAGTTCTGCTGTTTGAGAAGAGATTCAATGCAGTGAATAGAAATTGCATATTTTTTGCAGGAGTACTTAGATCGCAGAAAAATGACTGAGTTTGGCAGCATGGCTCTGATTGATGATGGGGGTGGAGGTGATGATGGTGTTGCCATCCCTCTTCCTGGAGTAAAAAGAGGTATGGCTTTGATTTAGTTTCTGGTTTTATGTATGTCAAAACCTTGCACACAGATAAGAATGGCTTGACTTGTTGAACTCAGTTTTAATGTTAGGATTACCTGGATGTTCTSTAGCCACAGGGATTTGTTGCACAAGTGTTCAGCTGATGTATGGTAGGTCCTTTCGCATTATAGAAGCAACAGTGGAGCTTCTGTGGCTTCCTGGATAAAGAATCCAACAGTCCTGATTTAATTTTCAATGGCAATTCAGTCCTGTCACTTAAACTGTAGGATCTCTTGGACATGGTCTGTCCTTCTTTACCCAGTCTTTAACTCTKCCAGGTTTTGCCATGTGACATCATAATTAGAATTTATAACTAGGCTGTGAACTTCTGGTGAATGTGTTAAATCACTTCTGAACTTCTCTTTTAGGTGACATGAGCTATCGACACTTTAAACCAGAAATAAGGGTGACTTGTGTGCGATTCTGTCCTACAGGTTAGTATCGACAATTAATTTACATTTTTTTATTACATATAAAACAAGCATAAGAATAAAGCATTGGAGGAGTAATAATGAAGTATAGAAGTACAAACATCTTGGAGATCATCTTTTCAGATGTGGCATAGTGTTGCTGTGTTCATAATCTGGCTTTCTGTGCACTAGATAATTAGGAAACTTAAGTCACTTTGAGATGATATTTTTCACAAGCATTGTCACTGCTGACAGGTCCATCAGTGGTGCACAGCTTTCAGTCTTAGCTACCTCCTGCAAATAAATGAGTCATCTGTTCATCATTCATCATTACTCTTCTGTTTCCATTCTAGAACACCCCTAGTTAAATATTACTATTTCCCTTCTAGGACGAAGCTGGGCAGCAACTACCACAGAGGGTCTCCTGCTCTATTCACTGGACTCTGGGCTAATTTTTGATCCTTTTGAGCTGGATATTGATGTCACACCCAGCAATATACACAAAACATTGCGTCAGAAGGAATATACTATGGCTATTGTCATGGCCTTCAAGCTGAATGAAAAAAAATTAATTCAAGAAGTCATAGAGGCTGTCCCTAGCAGTGAAGGTGAGTGGATCTGCCATGAAATTGGGCTGAGCTGGTTGTAAACAGATATGTAAGCCAAAATAAGTTGAGGCATAAAGGACTTCCTAGTGTTAATTTATGTTTTAATTTTACTAAACTATTTCATACTCATTTAGTGAATTTTCAGCATGGAATTTTATCAGGTCTAGAAGTGCAAGACAAAGTTTTTGGATGTCAGTTCTTARAAGGAGCTGATATTAGGGGGGCACAGAAGGTTTCGGGGAGTTAGCACTGTGCCTGTGTGAAGAAGGTCATTAACTAGTGCCAAGGATGTAGTCAGCAGTTTGAGGAAGTGATGAATCTTGTCTGCTGAGCACTTGTGACAYCAGGTCAGGAGGTACTGTCCCTAGTTCTGGGATTGACAGCACAAGAGAAGACATTGACACTCTGGAGACTCTGGACATTGATACTCTGGAGGACTTAGAAAATGATTAGAGGACCAGAGTCCGGTTGAGGAGAGKCTGTTGTAATCCACTGTTAACAGGATGATTGTGTGCCTATTTCTTGAGCAAAAAGTTATTTTTCAAAGTTGAATGCCATATAGGCCAGTTAAGTTGGCTGCAGAGAACAGGAGTTGATTATTTTTTAGRGAGAACTATATATAATGAGATCATCATAGTTATATGTGAGATTATTTTCAATGCTTCTAAACTGCGTTTCTGGTGCTGTGCAGCTGCTAACAGCATTCAGACACTTCCTCTGTGGGCAGGTGACTGCTGTCTTTTCAAGWATCCATTACTGTCTCTGGTCATTGTGCATAACTGATTCCTCTGAAAAGCGATTTGGGTGAAGTCAGAAGCAGCAACAATTAAGTATGTTACATTGAAAGAGGAGGAAAGGGTTGAAGGAGAGCGGATGTTCTGAAGGAGACCTTCCTGGCAGGAGTACTCTGTTAGGAAGAAGAACTTGGTGGGGAAGGAGTTAATTTCTTCTATTTAAATACAGTAATGCTTGGAAGGTTTAAAGAAAAAAGAATTGTCCCCTGAGAGATTGTGGTGCTGTACCCTGAAATACAGCACTAAATATCCACCACTTGCCAAGACACTGCTTTCTTCTCCTTCYCCTTAAGCTTTCCTGTGGTCTCTTTCATGTTATTCCAAATAGAAACTCAACTGTATTAAATGTCTTTGGGCTTTTTCTCTTTTTGCACAGTTGATGTAGTCTGCTCATCCCTGCCAGACCTGTATGTGGAGAAGTTACTGGAGTTCCTSGCCTCTGCATTTGAGACCTCGTGTCACTTGGAGTTCTATCTCATTTGGTCTCATAAGTTGCTCATGCTGCATGGACAGAAACTGAAAACAAGGTGAGATCCTGTGAAAGCCAAAATGCTGACAAGAATTTTAGAATTAAAAACGGGTCAATTTAAGGCTTTTACGTAACATTTACTGAATTTTAAGATAATGCATACACAGCAATTAGAACTACTTCAGTTTTGCAGTTTTTTTACTAATGGTAAAAGTTACAGTTTGGACTTGATCTTAAAGGTCTAAAAGATTCTAAAAAGTGTGTATGACACAATTGGAATACATTACTGGATTTGTGAAGCTATATTACAGAAACATTTTTCAAATTAAACATAAAACTTTGCCTAAGATGCTTAGACAATAACTGCATAATGATTTCAGGAAGGATAGTAGGATTTTGGCAATAGTGTTTTTAAATAATTATGCAGGTACTGATTGCATTTTTATAGATTTAGTTTGTGATTATAGATGGTAATACCCTGCCTTCCTACATAGTACTTTAGAATTGCATGGGCCTGGTCTGTGAATTGTATTCAGCCCCTCCATAAYATATAATTTTTAGACTTTTAATTACAAGACCAGGCAAATTCACAAATTTAAAATGGACTAATTGAAAGGTAATCTGAGAAGGAGTCCTTCAATTTAAAAAACAGTGCATTGTTTGACTCTTCCCTTGCTTCAGTGTGGGTATTAATGCTTCAGTTACTAAAATGGCTGGAACACRTTTTCTCCTTTTGTTGCTGGTAAAGTAGCAGAGGACAATTTAAAACGAACTCCCTAGTTCASAAAGTATTGTAGTATCTGGAAGGAACTGTTGCTGTGGCAAGTAGAATTAGCTCTTTAACCTRCAGTTTGATACTAGAAAAAGTATTTCTAACAATATACTACTTTTATTGAGGGCAGAGTCAAAAGCAGAGCTTTTGTTTATTTAGTGTTAAAAAGTTCGCATTGAAGTTTTATGCTTGTTAAAATCTTGAGAGTATAGAAAAGTTACAGATTTCCATATGTAAATATGAATTGCAGTGCAAATTTTGTGTTTTCTCCATCCAAGGTCAGTGAAGCTGCTCCCTGTGATTCAGTTCCTTCAGAAGAGCATCCAGCGTCACTTCGAAGATGTTTCAAAACTGTATGTATTGCTACATGTAGAAGTTCAAATCAAAAGCCCAGAGTGATTTAGGGAGTGACAGTGTGCTGTTAAAACTTTCAAGAGTGTCTTCTTTTAGAGGTATTTTTATTTTAAGAGGAAAACAACATGTTCTTATTTTTACAGCTGTGAATGGAACATCTACAACATCAAATATGCGCTGGCCATTTCACAACAGCGGGGCRTGAAACGTCTGGCAGAGGAAACACCAGGAGATGAAGAAGAATTGGATTCTGACAGYGATTATCTTATGCAAGAAGTTCATAGGGATAAATTGAATTCCTAATTACTCCTTGTGAGAGGGAGAAAACCTCAGACAGTATTTTATGCAGTGGTATTCACTGAAAATGAGTGGCCCTCATAGAGGCATGAATTCCTCATAGTGTGATGGAATTCCATTTGAGATAATGATGGAAATGCAGGACTTGCCATGGATATGGCACTTTACTTACTTCATGTACACTTTGGCTGTAAACTTTGAGCATTGATTTCTTGAATAATTAATTTAGTCTTCTTTTAGTAATTCCTTATTTCAAATAGGTAAAAGAAAAGGGTTCATCCATCTGAGTTAATGATGGAAATGCAGGATTTGCCATGGATATGGCACTTATTTCATGTACCGTTTGGCTGTAAACTTTGCGTATTGATTTCTTGAATAATTCATTTATTCTTCTTTTACTAATTTCTTGTTTCAAATAGGTAGAAGAATAGGGTTCTTAGTGAAGTTAGAAGTAGACTGGAAGAAGTTTATTCTTCCTTAAAAATGTGTTGTACATTAAGTATTTGGAGTTTTGTAGTGCAGGCTTATCCTACATTGGACTCTGAATTTTAGAAAGGATAAAAAAATTTAATAATTGGGAGCCTGTGTACTTCTTTCAACTTGTTTTAAATGTTTTACTTGGATTTAGTATTTACATATTTCTGGAACGTTTTTCTTTGGAAGTTCTGTAACTTCCAAACTTGATGAGGTTTCCGTAATGAGGATAAATGTTAGACCCATAACAACGATTGTGGGAGAAAATTTACTGGACTTCACAACTCCATCAAGGTTTGATTGACAACCACCGTAGTGGAAATTTGTTTGCACATTATCAACTCAAAAATGTAACAAACTCTAAGAGAATGTGTTACAAATTTCATGGCTTGTTGGTTTTTGTTTTTCTTTTTTTTTTTTTATGAAAGCCCTTGTCTTTTTTTAACGTTGTTTATTAACACATTAAAATCTGAAACTTTTGATTCCCTTTATTTTTGTATATTAATGAGAACTGGCTAACAAGAGCAGGGTCCTGAATACAAAGAATTGTGTCTGTCCTTGTAATATTTTTAAGCCACATGTTTAAAGGTCTTCGTTAATGAAGATGCAGCAAACATTACCCATGATCCAGAATTGATTTTCACAGCATATTATGTTCTGGATTTGTTTTGTGGTCACTTTCCATTGTTAGAATAGAGGAGAGGTGTAAAAAAGATAACTGCGATGAGGTCTCCCCTCAGTCCCTCCAGGCTGGACAGACCCAGCTGCTTCCCACATGGCTTCWGCTCAAGGCCCTTCACCATCTTCATTCCCCACTTTTAGACACTCTATGATAGTTTAATATCTTTCTTTTCAGYCTTTCATTCCCCATTCTGCCCCTATATCTAAGATTGCCCTGTCCCAGATGCAAAATCCAGCACTTTCCTATGACTGGTGATTGCAGATTCTCTTAAGTTGTCGAGGTCCCTCAGCAGGGCCTCCCTGYCCTCGAGGRAGTCAGCAGCTTCTCCCAGTTTTGTAYCATCTGCGAACTTGCTTATTTCCCTCCCATTCTTTCCGCACCGTTATCTTTGTACCCTCAGTGCCCTTCCCACCGCTGCCATTCCCGATAAAYGAGTGTCGTGAAGGGAGCAGGAGCCCACAGGCCCCGGCGCTGAGGTGGCCCCTCCCCGCCTGCAGGGGGCGCCGCCAAGGGCGCAGCGGCCTCCAGCGCGGCCGTCCCGGTTCCTGTGGGCCTCACCCGCTTCCCGCTCCCGGCTCCTCCGTTCCTCGGCTCCTCCGTTCCTCGGCTCTTTCGCTCCCCGGCTCCTCCATTCCCCAGCTCCTCCGCTCCCGCTCCGCCCGCCCTCAGCCATGCTGACCTCCCGGGGCCCGGCCCTGTGCACCGCGCTGCGGCGGGCAGCTCCCGGCGGCCTCGCCTCCTTCCACTCCTCCGCCCAGCGCTGCCGCGCCGCCCGCGTCGCCGTGGTGAGTAATGGAGGAGCGCGGGGCCGGGGCAACGCTGACGAGAAGCGTTTGTTTGTGTTTTTGCTGTCTGGCTCTTCATAGCCGCCCTCGGCCCTGCAGCGGGGTCGCTCCGGCGGTGGGGAGGTTCGCGTTCGGCGGGGCGGCGGCCTGGGAAACTCGTCTGGTGGCTGCGGCAGCTGCAAATCCTGGAGAGACGTTGAATTTGAGAAGAGAAAGCTGCTTGCAGTTCAGAAACTTGGAGGAATCCAGACCAGGAGTGGGAAACATGTAAAAATTTGCGTCTGTTATAGTTGTTGGCATGGAGTTTAGTTGTGAAGAACTACAGAATAACAGGATGGGTCAGGTTAGAAGGGACCACGGTGGGTCACCTGGTGCCACCACCCTGCTCCAGCAGGGTCATTCCAGAGCACAGGGCACGGGATTGTGTCCAGAGGGTTCTGGAAGTGACAGAGACTCCAGAGCCTCTCTAGACAATCGGATCCGGTTCTTGGTCACTACACAGTGAAGAAGTTTTTCCCCATGGTCAGGTGGAAATTCCTGTGCATCAGTTCCTGTCCCTTGCCTCCTGTCCCATTGCTGGGCACCACGGAGCAGAGCCTGGTCCATCCTCTGACAGCCCTCTTTACATATTTATGCACATTCATGAGATTCCCTCTCAGTCCTCTCTTCTTAAAGCTGAACAGGCCCAGCTCCCTCAGCCTTCCCTCATAAGAGAGATGCCCCAGTTCCCCATTCATCCTCATTGCCCTCCACTGGACCCACTCCAGGAGCTCCATGTCTCCCTTGTACTGAGGATGCCAGGAGAACTGGACTTTGTAATGAAACTACTGGAGGTACTGCAATGTATAGGAAAATATTTAAACTGGTTTATGCTCTTCTTCAGGAAGGAGATAAAGCATATTACAAACACATAATAAAGCAAAGAGATGGAGGAACCAGAAATTGCAAAGGAAAATACAGGCTGTAGATGGTGTCCCACATGGACACGTAGTTTTGGAACTCAGTGGACAGTCTCTGAAGCTTGAGCTTTGCATGGTCTAGATAGGATTAAACATAAAGGAATAAGAAGGCATTACCAGCATGAAAAAAAAACAAACATTTTGGGGCAGAGTTGGCTGGGGAAGGGGCAGGATACTCATCCAAATGGCTAAAAGGTAAAGCAGCAGGTGTGCTGTCATTTTACCAAGTCAGAACTTTTTAAATAGAGCTGGGAAAACATTTATTTTGGACATTAGTGATGTAATTTCTGACTATGGTAAGAGATTTATCATCAAGCAGGTACTGAAATAATACTAGAGTTTTCACATAGAAGAGTTTATAACAGTGTTACAGTACTTTCGTTTCACTGAGTTTCAAAAACATTTAAAAGGTGTTGCTCACAGAGCATAACCTTAACACAGTTGTCTGTTTATTCTGTGTAAATTAAATGAAAGATAAAAAGTTGCGAAGTAAAAGGCACCTCTTAAATATCAGAACAGATTAATGTGGGCAGAAGAAGATTCATGAATCTTGCCCATTTGGAGAAGTGATGGTGAGATGCCCTTGAGAGCAGACACCTKGGTATTGTGACCTGGAAGTCCTTTCAAGTCTGACATTTCTAGCTAAGTCTTTTTGAGTTGTGAGCATCTGCTCATCTGTCTCTGTTTAAAAACTCACAAACGTCAAAAAACTGAGGGAAAACCAGGGAGGGAAGAAATTAAATTAAAAACCAAATAATAAAAAGAGAGAAAAGGAAATTGACTTCCTAACTGGACTTTTTTTCTTTCAAAACAAAGAGTCAGACAAAAAACCCCGAAAGAGTTCATCTGTATACTTTCAGGAATTAGAGAAACCTTTGGATTTTTTTTGTTCTTATAATGGCTTTTAAAAAAAAAAAAAAAAAGTTTTCTGCTTCTACTTTGTCCGATTCTCCACCCACACAAGGGTAGCTGATTGCTTTGTGCTTATTATTCTCTGGTGTGCGTAAACAAATTAAAAATAGTATTTCCACATTAGTAAGGAAGAGTATGGGTAATACAGCATAATTGTATTATTGCATTAAAAGCGATTTAGCTGTTGCTCTCTGATGCACATCCTCAGGTGAAATATAGCAGCAGTAATTTATTTTAAGTGCCACCTCAAAGTGCAGTTTGTCCCTCTTCTGACTGATGTGCATGTGGATGTGGACATTTCATAAGAAAGATGAATGACACTCAGAACAACCCACTGTATGCACAATAACAACATCCCTKAGGGTAGCATGTCAGTTTATTAACTGAGGAATAAATGTATAAGCCAGGAAATAAATAGTGGTTATTTCTGAGCCCTGTGATGGGTTGCTATAAATAGGAAATGCCAGTTCTGCAGTGTGTCAAGTGGTGACACCAGTGCTAATAGCATGGTGTTCACTGGCTTAGCAAGACCTTGCTGTTAAGTTGGGGTTTTTTTTGTTGTTTGTTAAACTTTTATTTTAATCTTACCTTGTGAAAGATCCTGTAGAAAGTTTTGTGTCTGCTGCAATACTCTCTTGATTTTCTCACTGCAGGTCCTGTCTGGCTGTGGTGTCTACGATGGCACAGAAATCCATGAGGCATCAGCGTAAGTTGCTTTGTGAAACTCTAGGCTCTAAAGCAGTCTCCATTACATCAGTATGTTTAATTTAATTTTGCTGTCTCTGGCCATCAGAATTACCCTGAGAGATGTATGATGAAGCTTTCTCACACTTTTCTCACCGCATAATTATTAGCTCAGTATGCATTCTTGCAGAAGTTGGTGATTGTCCAAAGGTGCAGCACAGTGCATGTGATGCCAGAACATTGAGTATGAATCTCTCTTTCCTTCAAAAAYAGAAATTCAGAGTTCCAGATTCAATCTTAAGAGGTTTAAACGCAGACTTAATTTCAGAATCACTTTGGGTTTCCATTCCTTGGGCTAAATTTAACACTAGAATTGTTAATACTTAAGTTGAATAATTAACTCTTACGGTGAATTAATGAGATGTTTCACCTAGACCTAGATTAAATGGTAATGGGTGTGTTAATTGTGGTATTCTTCCATAACACTYGGAGAAAGGAAGCTTTTATTGTTCCTGGTTGCCTGCTCTGGTAGGATGTGTGTTTTTCCTCATCTTTCAAAATCAGGTGGTGGAATATTTGTAGCAAGACTTAGGGGCCAGATAACACCTCTCCCTTAAGGTTTTTTGCACGTTTTTTCTCTGTTTTTGTAGYGTACTGGTGCACCTGAGCCGTGGGGGAGCTGAGGTTCAAATGTACGCTCCAGATGTCCCTCAGATGCATGTCATTGACCATACTAAAGGGCAGCCAGCTGAAGCTGAGTCAAGGTAAATCTGTAATGAATGTGTTTTCCAGCCTCAGTCTCTTAGACATCTTCGGACACAGCAGCCTGTAATGATTCATGTAGCACTTTGTGAATGCCTTTAGTAGCTTATGCCAGCTGTGGTGGTTTTCTTGGAGAGAAGATATTAYGGTTTTCTGGGTTTGATTACATACAGTCTGTCAGTGCCTGTGTTTCCCAGCGATAGCATTTCAGAACCATCAGKAGCTTCAGTTACTAAATACCAATGTTCTTGCTTCCTCCTTTCCTCACCCTGCTCTTCCTCTGCCAAAACTTTTTTTATACCATTCTATGTGCAAATGCTTAATTAATTGCATTGTTTTATTTCTGGTTCTGCAAGGAATGTTTTAGTGGAATCTGCAAGAATTGCTCGCGGTAAAATTGCAAGCCTGGCGAAGCTCACTACAGCAGACCATGATGCTGTGATATTCCCYGGTGGATTCGGAGCTGCCAAAAATTTGTGAGTGCCAACTAAGCATCAGATTCCTCAAMCAAATATTCATAATTAACTATGCATAATCCTCACAAAGAGAAGGCTTTGGGGTGACCTAATTGCAGCCTTCCTGTACCTGAACAGAGCTGACAAAAAAGACAGAAAGTGACTTTTTACTAGGGCTTGGTGCGACAGGGCAAGGGGGAATGGCTTCAAACTAAAARAGAGTAGGTTTAGATTAGATTAGGAAACAGCTGATTGCTCTAAAGATGGTGACCAGCTCGTCCAGAGAAGCTGTGGATGCCCCATCCCTGGCAATGTTGGAAGCCAGGTTGTGTGGAGCTCTGAACCCAGTCTAGTGGAAGATCTCCCTGTCCATGGCAGAGAGATTTGAACTAAATGTTGTTTAAAGTCCYTTCTACCCCAGACTGTTGAGTGAATATATGAACCATGATTCACACAATAAAATCAGTTAATGCCTTATATACTACATATGTAACTCCTGCTTAATAAGAATAACTTCTTTCAAGGTCTTGTCATTGTCTTGTTTGAAATTTTCTGAATGATACTTTGAGAATTGTAGAGTGTAGATAATACACAAGAAGTCCTTTTTCCTCCCCCTAGTGGTGTTTCTTTTTGGGCCTGAGGGAAGTGAAASTAAAACTTCAGTGTTTCAGGTGCTTGTAGTATTATTATTCTGTTTCTTCCTCTCTCCCTACCAAAAATCCCCTCTTACCTTGTAATTACAAAACAACAGCTGTCTCAAAAAAAAAAGGAAACAAAAGTGTTGGCCCTGTGGAATACTGATTATCTTGCTATTGACAGGCTTTTTGTTGGCTTTGAGAAATATGAATGTTACTTCCCTTTTCTTCTTATGTATTTTTCTTCTTTGAAAAGCTTGCTGTTCAACTTCTCAGTAATCCTAGAAAGCTGATTTGATAATTTTCATTTCCAGATGTTTTTGTTAAGTAAGGGATTTTCTAACAGACCAAAGCCCTTAGAAGTGAGAGATTTTGACTAAAGCATTGCTGTTGTCTACAGAGTGTTTTTAACCAGCTTTTTAGAAGCTGTTCAGTTTGGGATGACCTTTTGGAGCCAGTCTCAGGGCACATAGGCAAATACCTCTGTTTGTAGGTTTATACTGAGCTTTGTGTAAGTTTCTTGTTGTGACAGATCTACCTTTGCTGTTGATGGGAAGGATTGCAAGGTGAACAGAGAAGTTGAACGAGTCCTGAAAGATTTCCACAAAGCAGGCAAACCTATAGGGTACGTATGTTAGTTGGATGGCATTTGTTTGAAAGTGTGAGCATGGAGACAACCTGTGTTTTGTTGAAATCTGCAGTTGTTGTTGGAACTGGAAAAATTATCTTCTGTTTTCTATCACTTGTAGCTTATTTTAAAAATATTTTTCAAGATGTRTGTGTGTAGGTGTTTGTCAAAGGAGAAGCTGAGAAAATGCTGAGAGGAAGTTGCTTTGTAATGTCTTTCAGATTTACAAGGCCATGTCCATTTGAATCTTTTCAGCTGTGATCAARTTCTGGAATAATGCTGTTATAGAATTGCTCTTACAATTCCTTCTGTTGCAGCCTGTGCTGCATTTCCCCAGTGCTGGCAGCAAAGGTGCTCTCTGGTGCTGAAGTCACTGTGGGCCACGAAGAAGAGGAAGGGGGCAAGTGGCCTTATGCTGGGACTGCAGGAGCCATCAAAGAGCTGGGAGCAAAGCACTGTGTKAAAGAAGTCACCATATCCTTTCCTTGTAATTTCCATGTTGGGAGAGGGTTTAGAAATAGGTCATTAAAGCAATGAACACAGGTAAGATCTGTGCTTTTCCACTGGAGTCTCATGGGAATGTGCAGTGTGTAGCAGGTAGCAGTGCTACAGTGCAGGATTAGAAACTTCTGTACACAGCTGTGTAAGTACTGTGTAACTACACACTGGGAGTCAGAAGTTGTTCTCAGTCAACTCCCTTGGGCACTTAATAATGCAGTAAGTGCTGGATGAATTTGCACATGAAACTGGCATGAGTTGCAACTGCTCAGTTCTCTTTGAGATTTTTATTCTTTTCCTGCAGTCTAATGCTGAGGTCAGACTACTTAGAGACATTTTAYTATTAACAGTGAATTTTGTAAGCTTTCTTGTATTTCCTAGTGTTTCCACAGGTTTCTCATGCAGTGTTTTTATTTCTCACAAAAATACTTTGTAATACCTCGGAATTTAGGTTGCAGCTGTCTTTACAGCTGGGTGGTATAACATATTTGGAGGTAGTTTTTATAGGGTAGTGGAGTTAAGAGGTTTTGTCAGTGCTGGTTCATTTTGCAGGCAGCAGCTGTGAGTGCTGTGTTGTCCTTAACTCCTTTTTACGAAGCTCATGTGGATACAAAAAATAAGGTGGTGACCACCCCAGCATTTATGTGTGAAACAGCATTGCACCATATCTTCGATGGCATTGGGGCGATGGTAAAGAATGTGCTAAAATTAACTGGCAAATAAAAAAAAAAAGAGGATCAGAAATGTTTTAATTTAGGGCTCAGTATCAAACATATCATGGACCAATGGAGACATCTGCACCTGCTTGTCCTGTTCACACTCGAGTGAATGCTGATATGAAGCTGATTGATTCCCAGCTGCAGGATTTTCCATGCCTTTTTGAAAAGCCTTACAGAGGACAAGAAGCCTGGCCTGAAACGCAGAGCTTTTTCTTGAGCTTTTCCAGCTGTAGAGAGCTTACTGGATATCTTCTGAATCAAAGTCTTCMCAGCACACCAATGTTAAACCAGTTCTAAGGGGGAAAAAGAGACTCAAGGCCCTGTCAGAAGCTGAGAGCAGATGTGTTGTAGGGATTTGGCATGTGGCAGCATATTTGGTGGATGAAGAATGGGATTAGAGAGGAATAGTCCGTGATTCCAGGTGTGTGTGCTCAGGCCTRTGTCTGGGAACTAAAAGCCAGGATCATCTGTTGAAGGAATAGACATCTTCCATATCCTAATTTAGCTCAGTATTAATGAAGAAATTTTTTTGTTTCCATTTCAAAGTCATTCTGAGCACCAGTCAGCAGCAGGACACAATTGCCATAACAGTAGCACTTTGAAAAGTACATCCATTGGCCCATTATAGTTTCAAAAGGTCTTGAGGAAGAAAATGTCCGCTGATGTGACGCACAACTCTTAAGGGCAGCATCTGTGTTACAGCAGTTGTATGGCAAGTAGTGAATGGAAAAAACAATCTCAAATTGTCCTAACATCCCCTGCTTTAGGGTAATAAGGCTTTCTCCAAAGAAGTATTACTGAATGTCTGGAATAATGAGGTATAAATAAATAAATTTCTGCCTTTATCTCATCCTTGTCTTTCCACTTTCGTTTGGAAGCCGCCTTTGATAACTTAGAGTGGTTGGTACATTTTAGCAGTTTTTCTGCTTTTCAGTTCTCTTCACATTTTTGTACATTTTTTCTGTGTAGAATCCAGCAGAATCTCCTCCCCCTCTTTCAAGTTTTTTGTCACCTTTCTATTGAGCAGGACACAACATTTCTCAAATTCAAACAAACAAACAAGCAAAATGACACCCCTTACCATGGATTAGTTTATTTTCCATGACTTGCTAAGTGAACCCATATTTTTACAGAAGAGTTGTGTACTTCATAATGAATCTACAAACCTTACATTGARTTGATGCATGGCAAATTCCATCTGTGGCTAAACACTTGCCAAGGGTGTGGAGTGACATTTTTTTATTGGGGGGAGCAAAGAGAAGCTTTAGTAGGAGTGTTGGGCATGCTCAGCTTGCTCAGTGTTCAGGAAATAAGCATTTTTGCTTCTGCAGCCTTAGTGTTTGATTTTTTGTCACAAAAAAAAAAAATCACATTTGGATTTAGAAGATTWGAATTTGTACTTCAGTGCTGGCACTGTTTTCTTAGGGGATTTCAGAGATTCCCTCTTCAGATCATAAACTCCAGTGAGGCTGCAAAGAAATCAGACACCAAGTTATTGTGAAAGTAGGCATCGTTCATAAAGTGTATTTTGGACATTCTCTGAAACCATTTTTGTTTATGCATCAAATACTTAATGAAATTTTCAGTATCAAGTGGGTAAGAAACAGAATTTAAAACACTTCCACTATATAATTCAGTGTAAAAACTCTATGAGCTTTGCTTGTTCCAAGTGGATATTTTTAGTATCAATTTTATTCACAGAGGCTTAGCAGAGTATGTGAGGTCATTGCTCATGTAAAATATAACAACATTTTAAAGTGCATGTGTTTCCCACATCTGCACGAGTTTTAAAGGAAATTTGGTAACATAAGAAGAGTATCACACAACGAAATCCCCAGGGTGGAAGGAGAACAGCTGTTGTGTCTTTGTTAGCAGTGCCTTCCTCTGCTGCAAGGACTCAACTCTGGTTAAACCTTCCTTCACCACAGCAGGGCTCAGGGTTTGAATTTAGGGTTTCCCATATCTACACTTCTTACTAAGTGCAGCTGTGGTGGCACAAAGCTGTCTTAGATTCTGAATCTTGGATGCAGGTGTCCTGAGAAAAAGGATATTTTGAAGAAATTGCKGTTATCATTCAGTGACCAGCTGTGGCAGTTTGATGGATTGGTGGTTGGGTTATCCACATGRTGCCTCTTTACAGTCCTCAATTCTTTTTACTCTTATTTTTTAATTTCTCTGAATTTAGAGAGAATAGGGTTTTTTTAAGGGAGAAATAATCATGCCCCAGAATTGCCTTTCATTCTTTAAATTCTCCTTAATTTCCCAGCAATGTGCTGAATGCAAACCTTTGATAGGCACATTTTCCAGGAGTTTAGTGCAGGGTTTTTTTTTTTGGTTGCGTTTGCTTGTTTGATGGTTTTTGTTTTGTTTTTGGCTTTTTGTTATTAGTAGAAAGTTGTTTAACTTTGGTGGAAGATCTAGTATTGTCATCTTGGCTTCCATCCAGTGTAAATTTGGAGGGAAATTCCACATGCACTTAGAGATTATTATTTGAGATATTTATCTGCAAAGCTGGGATTTTCCTTCCCTTCCATAGGGCGGATTTGAGCTGGTGAGGGGTTTGCTCCTTTCAGCCAAGTGGACGGAAATTTGTGATCAATATGTTTTGTTAAATGCTACCAGAAATCAGAAGTGAAAGGATTCTTCAAGCTTCCACCAGGAGTCATGCACCCAGCTTATGGATTCCTAACATTTCGTACCTTTGGGAGACATTTAAGAGCTTTGTCCAGCTGAAAGGTGGTTTTGATAAACATGTTCCTGCTTTTCTTGTGCTTGCAGGGTTAACTTTCAGGGGTGGAGGAGWTTTGGCCTCTCAGCTGTGATTCTGCCTGTCCTTTTTGCCACACTGATGGTTACACAAACCCCGTTTTATGAAATATTTCTCTGCYGATTGTTGCAGGGTTCACAAATTTGGCAGCGGTGCTTTGCTCTTCCAAAAGTAAAAATGAGAGTCAGGGTTTGAGAAGCGCTTTCTGTYTGGCTGGTGGCTACGAGAGACATTTTTTTGGGGAATAAGAAGCCAGCAGAGGGCACTTTGTGAACAAAGTTCTGTGCCGGGTTCCACTTACCCAGGGACAGCATTCCAGCCGAATCACAGCTGGAACGTAGGACAGTTCTGTAGGACATTTTTTTGGACATTCTGGGTGCATACAGAGAATAAAACAAATATTGYTTCCTCCTGGCTTCACAAAAATAAATAGGATGTGCCATTCCATTGCAATTAATGCATTTGTTCTGCTGTCTTCTTCAGCAGTTATTTATTACCCTGAAATTACAGTAGCAAATGTACATAGATAAAGCTCTAAAGCCTTTCTGTGATATCACTGAAAAAACTGCAGTATAAAGTCATGAAAGTACACAGTGGAGGTTGGGTTTTTTGATTGGGATTTTTTGGGGGGTTTGTTTTGTTGTTTGTTTGTAGGTTTTTTTTTTTTTTTTTTTTTGTTTTTTTAATTAGAGTGGTGTTATAGCCAAGGTGACCTAAAATGAAGCTTTGTAGGACAGGACTTTTATCTGACCAAGAAATATCTCTGGAAGGAAACACACTTTGCAAGCTAACAGTATTTTATATGTGTGAATATGCACTTAATTTTTTTTCATAGTGGGAACTTAAATAATCCTCCACCTGCAAATGATTAAGAGCTGCCTGCATTCCAGGTCTTGAGCCTTTCTTTTGAGCTGATTTTCTTCTTCCCGAGAATTCAAGTGCCTGAGGGAACTTACAAACAACAATAAGGCTGATTATTCTATGGGTGAGACATAGACAATTAAGGAGYGATATTTGGTAATTTTCTCCAGGGTGATTCCAGTGGTGGCCAACATCTCTGCAGGAAGACACAGAGAGGGGAAGAGAAGGAGCTAAACTTGGACTATCCTGGAAGTTGAAGCAGAAGTTRCAGTTAAGATTGCTGCACCCATAGCAATGTGATTTCCTGCTGCAGAATTTAAAATAATCACCTTCCTTGCTAGTTTTCAGTATTTATCAATACTCTTTGTTCAACTACTGAGTGTCAGACTATGGAATGACTGYCATTCAGGTTTAGCTAGATTAATGGTGAGAATTCCAGTAAGTGGAAAGTGTCCCTGCCCATGGCAGGAGGTTGGAACTRGATCATCTTTAGGGTCYCTTCCAACCCAAACCATTGTATGATTTTATGGTTCTGCATCACATGTGTCCACATTCATTTCTTGCTGATGTTCTCAATGGGACATTTCTCCCACATCCTGTGGAAATAAGGGGAGCTGGCAGAGGAAAGCATTAACCTGGTAATGGTCCCACTCTGAACTTAGAAAAAGTACAAGATGATCAAACAGAATTCCTTATTGTCTCTTACCAGTGTCTCTGCAAAACACTGAAARAAAATTTAGCTTGCTTTTACAGCCATTCTTTGACCAGAATAATGTCTAAGGATCTCTTAAAAAATTCTTTAATGCACTATATTATYAGTCATATATATATCAGTCATGGCTCCTGCCATGTGGAATACGTAGGTGTGGGCTACCAAGGTACTACAAGTGAGAGGAGATTACTCCTTAAATRTGTGAATTGTTATTGTGCCCTTTAATTTTCAAAGTCATCCCTCTCATTCCCAGTGAAACTCTGGAAGACACGAGAGCTGTGTACCCCTCACCTTCTGCACAGTGAGTGACCTTTCAGGACAGACACTTCCTGTGTCATCAACTCAAGGTCACTTGGTCAGTCAAACCTTCACTTGCAGGAAATTGGAATGGTGGTCAAAAATAACCACTGGGAATGGCATTAACTATAGCTCTAGGAAAATAGAATAAACAGGGACGTTTAAACAACCCAAGTGCTGCTGCAAGTCTGAGTCATAAAAAAGGAGAGTTGTAAACAATATTTAGAGGTCAGCCAGGCCCTTCTGTAGTCACACAGCTCACACTTGTGCGTGTGCTCATACACYTGGAGGTGCTCACACATGGCACAGAGCAGCACACAGAAATCACAACAGTAATTGTATTTAAAAACAGATGGATGACACAACAAGGAAATKAATGTTATTTTCCCAACAACATCACAGTATGGGGCTCAAGTTTATGCCACGTGAAGCATTTTAAAAACCATGAAAACATCAGTCTCATCATGGCTTTACAAACCAACTTTAATGGGCTTGATTTACAGGTGATAATCTATTAACACTAGTTTTTTAAGTTACTTTTCACAGCAGCCATAAAAACTGAGTTTTACAGGTTTTTTTGTAAAGTTAGTGGAAATTGAATAGTATATAATCTAGCCCATATGTTTATATTTGGCCTGTTATTAAAACTTGTTAGTTCCATATGCAATACACTGGATGTGTGTGCGTTCTTTACAGTTATTACAATGGTCTTGTCTTCAAAATAAACTCTGAGAATCAATACATGAGTCCATTTACATGATTGGGCTTCCAATATTTTTCAGTTTGTGATCAAGGAATCATGATGTCAACAGATTAAATACCCAAAATTATGTAARACAATAGCCAGGAAGTTTCTCCTGCTGTTGGCACAAAACAAACCCAAAACAAAGTGAGGAAATTTGACTGMAATGTTTGATCTGTCAATTGTCATCTTATCAGCTGGAACAAATTGCTTTGTTTCAGCTTTCTCCCCCTAAATCAGGAAGGACTTTGTCCAGCCCCGTGCAGGGACGGTGTTGGGGAACTCCCTGAATTTATAAAAATGCTTTGAGCTTCCTGCACCAAAAGGGCTTTGTATGGCTTGTCATTAGGAAAATGCTGCTGCTGAGATTTCTGCATTAGTCTGTTCTGGGTTTGAAGCAATTGGGAAGTTTGTCTCCCTTCTGTGCTGTAAAGGGATTCCTGTAAAAGTTTGGTTTGGGGCTGAAATGGCAGCGTTCCTTCAGCCATGCAGGTGTTGCTGAAATGGATTTCCTTGTGTTTATTTTTCTTCTACTTTGTTGGAGGGGACTGTGAAAAAAAGTCAGCAGAAGTCATCTCATTATTCCAGCAATAAAGATGCATCTGAGCTGGGAGCTCAAGAAGGACCCGGTGCTATAACTCTGGGCTCCTTAAATACAATCTTAAGGCGATTTGCATATTTGGTTTTGCTATTACATAAATGATTTGCATAACAGTGTACATTACAAACCTGTTGAAATTTCAGCTTCAGTGACCTATGGGCTCCTGGTGAACAGGGATGGCCACAAAAAGCAGCATCCTCCAATATCCTGGTGGGATTACCTGGAGGGAGGAGGACTGGAGGCTGGACAAGGCTGCTGCAGGTGGCTCCCAGGGTTGCTTCTGTCCTCTAGGACTGAGCACAGCCCTGCCAGGGCTCCTCTGGGTCCTTGCAGCTCAGTTATTGGTGGTCCCTGTCACCACTTGTGCCCTGGCTTGGTCTCTTCCATTTCTGGCCAAAAAGCCCAGTGCAGCAATTTTTGGAAGGGAAAAAAAGATTGGCATCAAGTAAGTGTAATAATTTGGAAAATTCCAGGAACCTCCTTCTCCTCCTCCCCTTCCTCTTCTTTTCTT